CCTCGGCGCGGCGCAGCTCCTCGGCCTCGAGCTCGTACTCAACCTCGTACTGGATCTCCGGCCAGACGACAACGTAGGCAAAGGTGCAGAGCTGCGTGACCCAGCCTCCACGCATCAGCCAGCCGAGCATGAGGAGGTAGGTTGGACGGTGTGCTTTGCTCGGGCAATAGTGCTTTGTACGGGCGGGGGGCGTAGGACAGCTCCGCGAGAAAGTTTGTCAGCGGCGGAGCGAGGGGGAAGGCCTTTGCCCATTCGACGCTGGCGCGGGGCAGGTTGCGCGTGTCACTGTTTGGCGAGAGAATGTAGACATCACGGGCGTGGAGTGGCGGGATTGCTATGGCGCGGCGCCAGAATATAAAGTGCTGGGCGTATTTGCGGACTTGGCCGAGTGAGAGTATATTGCTCTGGCCGATTTGGAAGAACCTGATCGTGTCAGCGATGTTTCGTGAAACAAGCAAGGAGAGAACGGCGGCGAACTCACGATTGCGTTGGCTTGGACAGTCGGACAAATTCCACCATGGCAGCGGTAGTTGGATCTGGATCAGCTTGAAGTTCAGCAATGATTTTCCGCTCGTCCTCCATAAGAAGCAGTCCGAAGCTACGATCCAGGAAGCCTGGCTCGTCTATGGTGTCTTCTCCCGTGAACGAGTTTGCCGTCGTGAGCCAGAGACCGCGTTGGCCCTCCTCGCCATCTTGTGGGAGATCTGCGACGTAAAACGGTACCGGAATCTGCACAGACGGCGTCAAAGGCCCCGCCACTGTATCTAATTGCAGGGCGGCAATCTTGTTCTGTGATACAGCTTCGTAGATATCCTGTACCGAAGCAGCCAGTGAAGACGACATTAGAATCTCTGCCCATAGAGAGCTCATTTTCCGTTCTGGCTCGTCAGTCATTGTCTGGGCATTGGCCTGTGCCTCAAAGGTGTGGTGAGCTCACTGTCTTCTCTTGCCTTGTCTTTGAGGGCAATGATACGTTTTGACTCCTTCCAAACAAAGTCGCTGTGCTGCTGACTATACTTGTAGGCCTTGTTGACCTTTTTGATGATGTTGTAGTATAAAGTAGCAACGAGTTCTTTGACTTCGTGCTTTTTCGGGTGGATGATGAAGACGAGATTGAACATGGTCATCGAGGCCCGCTTGTCCTCTGCCTCGTCTTCCTTTCCCTTCTCCTTGTCCTTCTGGTCTGACTGGGCCGCATCAGAAACCGTTGGCGTATCCCCGCCGCTCTGTCTCGAGACATCATTTTCAGACGGCACTATGTAGGTGTCATCTGTCTTGGTGGACTTGGCTTTTTCCGTCTTTTGTTGTTTCTTCTTCTTCTTCCAGACGCCATTCTCGGGGACGTGGATGGGGTACGAAACACAGTACAACGGGTCCAGTGAGAGTTGGAAGAGCGTCTTGTGGTATGCCTTGGCTGGGGTCAAGACGCTGGCTAGGTCCTGCGTAGGGAAGCCAGCGACGCGCTCCCAGGGAACCAGCTGAGTGCCACTTTCGGTGAACTGGTGATCATCCCAATTCTGGTGTGAAAGATGGTCCGTCTTGGAGGTGGGATCAACAGGCGCGTCCCTTGACCCGGTATTGTTCAGACGCTCGAGGAGAATGTCATCGCTATCGCGAGAGTCTGAGACCAACTCATGGTGAGGCTGATGAGTCTGGGGCGGAGCGACGTGTGGAGGATAGTGGAAGACAAAGTTGGGCCCATCGCGAGACCTCTTGATGACGAGTGCGACAGCGAGGAAGTTTGATGTGTTCGGAAGCACTGGTTGCGACATGGTAGCAGCAGGTGGGTCCGATGTCTGGTGTCTGGTGTCTGGCTTCAGGCTTCTTGATGAGCTGATGGAAGCGACTACCGCTGGGCCATGTTTGGATGATCACTGAATGAATGAGTACTGTCGTGACAGTGGGTGGGTCACTGCATGATCGAATCGCCTAGAGAAGGATCCCGTCCGGAACGACTGTCATTGGTACTCCAGCCGCGACAGGTTCTTCGCATGGAACGAGATGATGGATGGCGAGTCGGCGCTTTCTACCTGTTGAGTTGCAGTATTGCTCTCTCTCTCTATACCCATAATAGGTAGGCATGCAAGGTAAGTTCGTGATGGGGCATGCGATGGAACGATGGCGGTGGGCTGCATTACCTAAGCGAACCCACCACGTATGGGGGAGCTTGGGGAGGTGCACGTGCCCTTCCCTTTCCATTACGGAGTGACGGCATGCCTTTTCAGGGGTCCGCATCCACGCTTTCTCAGGTCAAGTGCCTGGTCAGGGCACAAACAGCACAATGGCTCCAGCAGAGAGCGTTGCGAGACGGCTTGACGGGTGCTAGAGAAGGGAAGACCCCTTTGGCCCCCTCCCCCTCCACACCACCACGAATAAGTGGCTCTCAAGGTTATCACATGTTTTGATCTGTCAATTTGACTGGACAGTCCTCATCTCCCTTTGCCGTTGACAAGGTGCCTCCAAACAACGGCCGACCTAGAGCAACCACAACGTAGGTACTTGTTTTATCTTCCTTTCCGGACGGACCCAAAGTAATCTACCGTCTAGAAGGGCAACAGGTCGTGTGCTCATTCTACAACTTCCAAGCAGATCACCACTACTCTCCCTCGTCCTACAACCCACCTGTGGCATCCTCATTCCAACAACCCCTGAGTGTTAGACCTCAACCCCTCCTTTGCTGCAGCGCTGCTGCATTGCGAACGACACGACACCCCCACACCTCGCAACGCCTGCAGACTACTTCATTCCTACATGGCTGGCCCCTCGCCTACGAGTTCCAGACCGTAACAATAGACCCTCTCGAACACCCCAAGGCGGCATAGCCTTGCGTCGTCCACGCCGCACCGATTTCGATTTTGATTTCCATTTCGATTTTGGTCCTGCATTTCCGCCTCGTCTCGACATAACACCTGAAGGTGTGTCGACTCTCCTGCACCTCGACCTCCCCCCCCCTCCACCCAACCCCCCTGCGCGTGAGAGATCACTGGCTCCCTCCTTTCGACTGTCGGCGTCCTTTTGCCGAGCAGACTCAGTGCTGAGCATGACTTCATCCAAGACCAACGGTCTCAAGACCGACCATGCAGATGTCCGATTCATTTCCTCCTCCTACGGCGGCACCGACCCGCACCAGTCTGCCATTCAGTTGATCTTGGCTGTGCGACCTGAGTGGGCTTCGGACGATTCCAAAATCGAGTTCGCCCGGTTTACGGACGGCATCACAAATACGTTGCTGAAGGCGGTCAACAAGAAAGAAGGCTGGACAAAAGAGCAAGTCGATGCTGAGGCTATTCTGCTGCGTGCCTACGGGTCAGGCACTGCTGTCCTCATCGACCGCGAGCGCGAGGCCCAGAACCACGAACTGCTGTGGAAGCATGGCCTCGCTCCTGAGCTCCTGGCGCGCTTCAACAACGGCATGCTGTACCGCTACATCAAGGGCAGCGTCACGTCCCCTGACGATCTGCGCAAGCCTGATATCTACTGTGCTGTAGCGGGACGACTGGCCGAGTGGCACGCCACCGTACCTTGCATCCAGCAAGCCAAGCCCGCCTCCAACGGCGCGTCCCATCAGCATGGCAACGGCAACGGCAACGGCACCAGCAACGGTAACGGCGCAGGCCACGAGGACCGTCAAACCGTCATCGACAATGTCGCGCCTGGTAAACCTCCCCCCAATGTTTGGACCGTCATGCAGAAGTGGATCTTTGCTCTGCCCGACACCACTGCCGAGCAAAAAGCAAGGCAACGCACGCTTCAGGTGGAGCTAGATAGCCTAGTTGAACAGCTTAGCCAGCGTCCCGGACTGGGCATCAACGGGGTAAGCTCAAACTCCATGTCGATGCGTGATCGCTCTGTAACTGAACCGTGCCCGTCTAGCTCGTCTTTGCTCACTGTGACCTCCTGAGCGGCAATGTGATCATTCTGCCCGGCCAGCCTGGCGATGTCGAGGGCGCAAAGTCTGTCACCTTTATCGACTACGAATACGCAACGCCCTCCCCAGCCGCGTTTGACCTTGCGAACCACTTTGCCGAGTGGGGCGGTTTCGACTGCGACTGGAGCGTCATGCCGACTCGCGCACAGCGCCAGACGTTCATCACCAAGTACATCGAGAGCTACTTCGCCTCCCAGCAGAGCGAGGTCGACCGTGAGGCCGAGGTGACCAAGCTCATGGATGAGGTCGATGTCTTCCGCGGCGTCCCCGGCTTCTACTGGGGCATCTGGGCCTTGATCCAGGCCACCATCTCCGACATTGACTTTGATTACGCCTCCTACGCCGAGACGCGCCTGTCCGAGTACTGGGCTTGGAAGGCCGAGTCTGACGGCAGCAGGGCTGCCGCAGGTGCGGACAAGCCTCTGCGCGAGAAGCGGTGGGAGCAGAGCGAGTAACCAGATTGCCCTTCTCTAGCCTCCCAGGTAGAGAATACCTCTCATCTGGATGGTGATGAGGCGCGTTTCTGAGCCTGGCTGATTTTCGATTCGAATTGTTCACAAAGGGGAAGGCAAAGGAGTTCCGGCACGAGTTTTCTGGACATACCACCTCAACTGCGTCACAGAAAGAAATGGTTGGATGGGTGGATGGGAGCGAAGCATGATATATCCACACGGGCCGGCGTCATTCAACATGAGCTCAGTAGAAGGGGGAAAGAGCTCCGGGGCGTTGCATTATTCTTTTTCTCCCATTCGTTCAGCCAAAAAGAGCGAGTCCCTCGTACATAATACCTACACACAATATTATCCCCAAGTCACTTGCTTGGGCGTTAGCATCAAACGCGCACTACCTTATCGAGCTTGACGCTGGGCGGGGCGGCGGGTGACTGCCGCAAGACCACGCGCACACACCTGAAGGCAGTACACCTTGAAATCGAGGAGATGTGGGATCGGCGTACCTGACCCGGTCTCGGCCCAGTCCAGAACGAGAACGCACTCCTCAGCTGGGGAGCTAAAAGCAAGGTACGTGTGCCTGGGGATGTATCTGCCACAATCGAAAGACTGCGCCTGCAGGTGGCCTGTACGCAGGATCTCAGGGATGTGCCGAAGGTCGGTGGAGCAAGTTGCAGGTACCATCGACTCCCTCTTCCCTAGCATCAAGACGCCATGTGCGCTCGGGGCATCGACCACCGGTCCGGTGGGAGACATTGGTGAGTGGTTCGTTGTTGTGCCATGTCCCCTGACCCGAGGATGATACGCTGAGGGTGTTTTCAAGGTCTGACCGATACCCTGGGTTCGATGGTTTGGTACCCCTGCGACGTGGAGGTATCTGACGAGCATCAGCCTGGCGCAGCTGATGAGTAGGTGCCTAGCTTGACGAGGCTACATCAAAGTGGTAAATGCGTCAAGAAGCAGCCTAATCTAGTGGCTTCGGTGAGGGCCATGCCCCCATGTGAACCAATATTGATCGCAAGTGGAAGCCATCAGCCACCGCCCTCCAAACTCACCGCAAGGCTTCTTTGGAGGGCAGTCATCGTTGCGTAGCTATGAGAGTGTTCGAAGTACATGGGTAGCGACAGGTGACAAAAGCCATTGCCTTCAGCGAGGTCTTCGGACTCCACGACCGCAGCCGGAGGCAAAGGCATTGACAATGACATGATTCTTTTCCATTATTGACGAGTCCCCTTACGCTCTCGAACCTGGGAACAGGCAACGGCACGCATGATGCCAAAAAAAAAGGCAGGGGATGTCCAAAGTCCGCAACTGCTCCTTGCAGAATGAAGCTCAAGAAGACCGAGGCTAGGGGATTCGCGCAGAGTCCAAGCTGGCAAGATGATGACTTTTCCCCCCAGGGGACCCAGGACATCCCTGTTTCCAAACCCGGCCGGCCGGTTCCCTCAGGTGGTCCCCAATGGTGTGCTCCGGGGGGACTTGCGCGTGTCGTGTTTTTTTACGCTGCCATACGTCCCCGCCCAGGGGGGGGGGGGGGGGGGGGTTCAACAGCCACGCCGTTGGCACAGCGGGTGACGATCAAATTGTTTTTCGGATATCCTCTGGACGATGCAAGGGGAGCCCTGTAGCCGATGGGCTTCTCGGATCAGCCCCATTGTAAGGTAGGGGGGCAGGATGGAAGACCTGGCGATCGACGCCAGGCAGACGAAACACAATGATGGAGTTCGAGGAACCAGACCGTTCTACTGTTTTTTCTTGCGTCTGGCTCGGGAAGAGGCGGGGCTTGCAAGGCGGACGCGAACAAGAACAAGCGTAGAGCGATTGGAATGCACTGGTGAACGTGGTGCAGTACTAGCTGGGTAGCTGCCGGCATTGGTCCTGCGGCCGGCAACGGCTCTGTTCGGCGAAATTTAGGATCAAGTAGACGAGTGTATCCCACCCACCCGAGATAAGTCGAGACCCCTGCTGCATGTGAGGCGTTCGAACTCCATGGAGCCTAGTGACGGGGCAGCGAAAGCGAGCTGGTGACGAGGGAGGGTCTTCTTTACCTTGCTTGCCAGTGCGGTCAAGAAGGAGGCTGCGCGATGTCATTTTTACCATGGCTTTCTTTTGTTGCCTTCGTTCTGATCAAAGGCTTGTTACCGCTAGAAGGTGCCCATCAGCGGAACCATTGCCGACTCGGGTCACCGTCATGGGGTCGCATCCTCGGTAGCTATCGCTACTGGCGTGAATGCTGTGCATAGAACTCAAGCATCGCCAAAAAGCCCGCAGACTGAGTCAAGGCAAATAGCGGAGGTGGAGGAGGTGGAGGAGGTGAAGGGGTCTTTTTGGGAGGGGGTGCCAGATGTGGTGCTCGGCGCCGACACGGCCGACAGTCTGAGCCGGAGCAGACCCGCCAAAGTCAGCGCAAAAGCTGTACGCTACTTGGTACTGAGTTGGAGCTGGATCAATGGGGCTAGGCTCAGACGAGAGCTGGAAGATGGAGTTCGAGCTAGCACTGGAGCTGGAACTGAAGCTGGAGCTAGAGCTGCTGCAAGGAGGCACCTAGGCACATCAAGGTAAGGTACCTACCTAAGGTACCTATCTATCTACGTACCCGCCTGACATTGCGCAGCGACAGGAGGCCTACATGTACACGGTAGACATGACCAGGCCCCCCTCACAAGAGAAGGCCAGGAAAGGGACATTGTTGCGAACGGAGCGGCAGAGGCCAAGGCGCTAGAGGTATCGTGCTCCAACCGGAGGCCCAAAGACGTCGAATTGGCTGGTGTGTCACAGGCGGCAGGCGCACCAGAGCAATGGCGACTTGGAGCAGGAGCAGAGCAGAAAACGAGGAAAAGCAGGGACCAGCCCCGTGTCGGAGGTTGGATGCACCCGCCTGGCACAAGCAATGCCCTTGTCCTTCGAGTACCTACCTACCTAGGTACCTACTTACCTTAGGTACCTAAGGTACCTAAGGTAGGTAGAGTCAACAAGAGGACTTATTTTTTCTCTCTTCGACAGCGCGCACTGTCGGCCACAACAAGAAGCCGCAGAGTAGGGTACTAAGGGAAAGGGACGGGCCAGCGGACTTGGGGACCATCGTACGCCGGCTATACACTTACCCACCTTTCAAGATGAGGCCCGACGCGCTGGGGCAACGCGTGCTGACTTATGAGCAATCCTTGACCCGACGGGAATAGTCTACCGGCGCACTCACTGCTCGAGACCACCCCCAAGTAGGGCTGTCCAGCCGGCCCAAGTGGGAAGGTGCTTAGAGAGCAGCAACGGTGCCCATGAATTGTTTCGTCCAGATGTTTCTCCGCCCAGTGCGGCGTTCGGGGGTCAGATTGCAATGAGTACCGAGACAACTGGGTCGTGACAGAAAACGGGCTTGGTGCCCTGGGCAGCTACTGGTCCATGCGCTCTAGGTGGCGGGTCCCCCACCAGTCCCGCGCCATCCGTTAGCGCACCATTGCCCTGCCGATAACGTGCTTTTTTCCTCAGTGTGTGTGGTACGTGCCAACCTGCCATGAGGTGAGGGCGAGCCAGGGGTCTGTGATAAGATGCGGAGAAGGGTTGCGCTCGAAAGGAAGGCTAAGGCACCTTGGGCGCTTGTTGTAGTGGGAAGCGTGCCTGGGAAGCTGGGGAGCGAGCTCGGAAGGTGTCAACTTGGGTACCAATGAGTGCAGAAGCCAAAGAGCGAGAGGGTGATCAAGAGACAGAGAAGAGAGGAGGGTGTCAGTGATTGGGAGGGGGGGGCAACATTACTGTGCATGGGTCCCTACCTTACCTTCAGGTACACTGCCTTACGTTGGTCCCACTTCAACCTGAGCGAGGCAAGGCGCCTGCCCGTCTTGCCCTTGTAGAAGATTGAGAGCTTTCATGGTGCCAGGTGGTTGGAAAGCGGCGTGAGGGGGAAACACAATAGAGGAGAGTGGGCAGAGAGTCGACGAGGGGGTGCAAATAGGGCGCAAAGTAATCACAAGCTCCACCCCAATCTGCCGACTGCCCCACCTTCCCCGATGACCCCATCGTCCATTCTTCCCTCCTCATGTCAAATGTCAAGGGTCCGTTTCGTTCGACCTGGGAACCTTGGGACATCAGAAGACCTCATGCTGGTCGCCAGTCTGCGCGCTTTGCATATCTGCCCGTCCCGTCGACCAGTCAAACATGCGGCTTGTAGCCATTGACTGGAAGTCGGAGGTACCCCGTTGTACCTTACCTGAGCTAAGGTGGGCGGGCCGTACTGAGCGAGCATGGCTTGTCAGTCGCGGTGCTTGCTTCCTCGTTCATTCCTTCCTTTGCTTGGCCCGCCATGCGGTCCATCCCATCTTGACATTGCGCTGCCTGTCCTGTGGTAGGAAGGTACAGACGGCTGTTCTTGCCCCAGCCCAGCAACGCTGCGGCTGCTGCTGCTGCTGTACCGTACCTACCGTGCCTTTCCCTCTTGCCATAGGTACACGCTCTCGCTGCAGTTCCCCAGTCCCTCATATCCCGTCCAAGCCCAAACAGGGAGGAGGTGCTGGCGCCGAGCACTCTTGCAATATCAACCATTGCATCTCGTCCTTTGGCCTACTTGCCGCCCGCCAGTGCGACCCTGTTTGCTTGTCTCCTTTTTGCCGCTGCGCCTGTCTGCCAGCGTTCGGGACGCCATTTCCCTCGACGCGAATCCTCGCGTGGGAACCCTTGTCAGGACCACGCAGGAACCACCGAGGATACTCATGAGGTAGGTCGCCGCGATCCAAGTCATCATCTTCAATGACCCCACGTCGCCCGACTTTGCTTCTGTTCTCATCTTCATCACCATCCTCGCCCCCGCCCTCGCCATCGCCCCTGGCCTCGACCTTGACCTCGGCCTCGACCTCGACCTCGAGCTTGACCTCCCAAGGCACCTGATATGAGACACACGCACACAATCAGGAGAGAAAGAAAACCCAACCATGCCTCGGGTTACAGCCGCCTTCAGCCATTGATGACCCTACCAGCACGAACCGGCACCCGCTTCCAGGCATCTGGACAGCAGACAAATAACACAGCAGCAGCAGCAACAACAGCAGCGGCGGCGGCGGCGGCAACGGCATGGCGACTGAGGGGTCTCGTCACACCGCTCAGCGCCCAGTTTCTCTTGACGATGCCGTTCAGCAGCTCCTCCATCAACAGGCCGACATACAATCCAAACTCGCAGATCTCCTACCGGCCACCTACCGTCACAATGTGAAGCTTGAGCTCTCCATGCTCCGACACAAGCTGCGAGCTCTCCATGCCTATGTACATCACCACGGTAAGCACGCCAAAGACCTCGAGAAAGCCGCCTGAGCCGCATCGTCTACCTTGGTGAGCTTGACCTGACTCGCCTTTTTCCTCACACCAGAGCAACTACCTGTCGCCCCTGTTCTTTGCGAGGCCGAGGAAGCAAGATCACTGCAGTATCGCTGTGAGTGCATCGAGGCCGCCATTTTGGACCAAGGTACAACCCACTCACCCTCACAAATTTCTCCGTTTGCTGCACAGTATCGTCTGTGCGACATCGGCTTCACCTACCATTCCCTCCTAACACACCCACCATCTAGGTCTGAATCTCACCAACCCCACGTTCATTGATGCCCTCAAGCGGCCTGTCGAGCACCTTGCCCCAGTCGGCTATGCCGCTTGGCTTGACCAAAATCTTGCGCGATATGACCCAGTCTTCCGTACCTGGTCCATGAGAGCCACCGCACCAAGCCCGTCCTCCTTGAACTTCACATCGTTCAAATGTCTGGATGAGGACTGCCCTCACTACATCTACGGCTTCTCCAGGAAGGATGATCGGAATGATCACGCCAGAGGGCATGACATGGCCAAGCACCGGGACTCGGGGCTCTCCATCGGCGGTCCGGCGTCCCTCCCCTTCTCCGGTCTCTCAGCCGCCCCTACACCTTCAACGTATGAGCAACCGGGCAACAGGACCCAACCGCAAACAATGCAACAGCTCCCTAGGCCGCATCCCGCTCACACGCTACCCCCAATAGCAACTTCACTCCTGCCGAGAGACCGATCCGACTCTCTCAGTACTCGACCAGGCTCTAGCGACCTTCCGGGGTCAGCAAGGCAAGCAATTTACGCCGATCTCGACTCCCACTTGCCACCTCTGGCGCGAAGTCGGGTTGGCCAGCCTCGACTGCAATCTATCGGCGAACTAAAGCTTGACCCGGATGCAAGATCATGCTTACAATGCCGAATACTGCATCAGTCTGTAGGTCTCCACGGGCACTGCATTGCGCCGCTTTCACAGGCTCACACTTTCCAGTGCGACGCCGTTGACCCTTGTTCGCATTGTGCAAAACAACTCCAACAGCCTGGCAATGACGGTTACAAGCTTTTGGGGTGCCATCGCGGCCCCCTCGAGAATGTCTCGGATCTGCTTCTTGCAGGTAGGTCCTGTTGAATACACAGTCGCGTTATTCTTCTCACACTTTCCAGCTCCTGCGACGCCAAGGCAGATGCAAACACCTTTAACATCGCCTCTCGCTCAGCGCCGAAATATCAATGACCACCTTGAAAAGACGTACCCGATACCTGCTGCAACACTTGTTGACCTCAGAGCAAATCTCGACTTCGATGATGGGTTTTGGTCAGCGGAGGAGCTGGCCAGCGTGTCGTCAAACAACTCTAATCTGGCACACTACTCGAGAGAATTGACAAGCCGACCGCCGCCCATCCTGGCCATACTATTTGCTAGCTGGAACACAGATAACACTGCATACAACCTCATGCACTTCTTGAAAGCCACCGGACTACTATCTGCTAGCAGAGAGGCGGAGAAGGCGGCATATCCAGCGCTCTACCGCGCGAAGCTGCTCCTGCGTGAAGCTGTGTTCTGGAATTTGCAACAGCAATCGCCATCTATACACCTGCGTGGTGGCGCGAGAATCCCGAATCAAATCCCGGAGGACGTTGATTACGATGGCCACTATAAGCTACTGTATGATTGCTTAACGCAGTTCTTACAGGCCTTCGAATCCGCGGCATTACATAAACAGAGGTTTGACTTTAAAACGTCGCTTGCCATGTTTATGTCTGTCTGCCTGTTCAGTGCCATTCGAACCATTTTTGCCGACACACTCACGACTCTACCACGTCGCCATGCTTTGCCACAACAAGGGTTGAAACAGGAAGTGGCTTTCGCGGGCCTGTCTCACATCGACAGCGTTTACAAACTCCTGGTCGTCAGCTGCAAGTCGATGGGAGCTACACCTTTTGATGACCCAACTGTTCTAGAAATCGAATCGTGCAGCGGCGCCTTTCGGTCACTGGAAACAATCATTCAGAGACACCAGTGGGCCGCACAAGGTGTCTGGTCTAGCTGTGACTTCCTAGCCCGGCTGGGCAGTGGTGCAGTCGAAGGCAATAACACGTACGTCGGATTTCTCAAACCCACATCGTGGCCATACAGTGATCGCTTTGCTGTCCCCGCGCCGAGTGCGAGGCCCATGGACGAACCCCAGACGCCCTTGTCCAACTCTCGAAGCGCGGGCGAGCCTTGGATCCCGAGCACCCAAATCTTGCCCGATCGAGATTCATTCATGCCCCAAACTAGTGTCGATCAGCTGGTATCGCCTATTGGTTATGACCACACCAGCCGGAGACATACTGCGAACAAGAGCCCCCCCTTCCAACGGCAGGGGTCTTCGCGGCCATCAGATCCGCCAACGCTGCATAGTCGGGGGAGGGTATCTTATCAACGGACACCTCTCCGGAGGGTCTACTGCAGCAAGTGCAACGAATATCCCGAAGGCTTCAGGGGCGAACATGAGTTGCGAAGGCACACCGATGCGAAGCATGCCGCCATGGTAAAACGATGGGTCTGTGCAGAGCCTGACGGCTACACATCTCCCGTACCGAAACCCGTTGTGCCGCTGGCGAAATGCAAGGCATGCGTGACGCAGAAGAGGTATGGCGCATACTACAACGCGGCGGCACACCTTCGTCGTGCCCACTTCAACCCTCACAGGGGCGGTAAGGCCAGCGGCGACTGGCCACCGATGACAATATTGAAAGACTGGATGAAGGAAATCCGGCAGTCGGTGGATGTACAGGAGGACCAACAAGATGACTCAAGCGGCGACGAAGGCGAGGGCGAAAGTGATTATAAGCAGCACAATGACTACGAAATTCGGAGTCGGGTTGAGTCGCCAACGCTCTCTGCCCCGCCGTTGGCTCCGGCACCGGTGCGGGGGCTGATGCCAGCGCCTCCATTGTCCTTGTTGGAGGTTTTGGAGCCCATGCAGCAGGGCAACACATCCGCCAGGCCTTTTGAGAACAGGACGAGATGTCCACACCCCGACTGTGGCAAGGTATTCAAGGACTTGGCGGCACACATGCTTACACACCAAGAGGAACGACCCGAGAAGTGTCCTATCGACACTTGCGAGTATCACACAAAAGGTTTTGCGCGAAAGTACGACAAGAACCGACATGCTTTGACACACTACAAGGGAACGATGATCTGCCCATTCTGTCCCGGGATCGGTTCGGCGTATGAAAAGGCTTTCAATCGGGCTGATGTCTTCAAAAGACACCTGACGTCTGTACACAACGTCGAGCAGACACCGCCCAACAGCCGAAAATTCGTCGCCAGTGGTCCAGGCCCCAGCGCTACAGTCAAAGAGGGAGCCCGATGCTCCATCTGCCAAGCTGAATTTAACACGGCCCAGGATTTCTACGAGCATCTCGATGACTGCGTACTAAACGTTATCGTGCCGGCGACAACGCCGTCCATGCGCACAGGCTCATCTTTGGCCGAGAATACTGGCACTGCCTCGGCGCACGAAGAGAGAGATTCGGAAATGGAGGACGAACGGAAGCCTCCCGGAACGATTTTGATACCAGAAGGTGTGAATTATGGGGGGCCGTGAATTTCGAAGGCGCAGCCAATGTAGTGTAGAGGCGAGAGAGTCACGGAGGGAGGAAGTGCGCAACTTTGATACCACAGACCAAGATGTTATTATGACTATTCGAGATGGACATGGCCACCCATGCTTAGGACAGAAATGTTTGAAGAATCGTGACTGTGATGATCCAAACTAGAGACGTTACGCATGTTTTCTCAATAGAGTTGTCTGCAATACTCATGAAGCGGTTGTGGCATGGAAACCACCCCCTCCTCGTCAATTATGGCATAGAGGCAACTACTACTACCTGCAGGTGATATTGTGATGGGATCAAGGAAAACTCGAGATGGAGTGATGACAACGAAATGGCCAAGGGACCGAAAAAATCGATCCGCCACTGCCTCGACTTGCTTCCTAGACCTCCTCCTCAGTGGCAGCCACCTCTCTACCTGACTGAATCCCAGCCTGTACGAATGCATCACACCCCCTCCTCCTTGCATGGCCTACAGCTGGCCGAGCGACAAAGGGAAAGAAAAAAAGAAGAGATCCCGGTACTTCCTACACGTCGACCTTCAGGGGGATGAAGCCCGTGCCGACCTTTGGCTTCCTCGCGTAGCCGTTGAGCATCCTCCAGCCGGCGCCGCAGAGGCGTCCCTCCTCGACAATGGCCGACACGCCCTCGAGGCACTTGCCTGCCTCGGTCATGGCGCTGCCGGCCGTGACCGTGTCGGCGAGGCGCAGCTCGCCGGCGACCTTTTCCATCTCGCACCGCAGCGGCCGGCGCTCCCAGCTCCAGCCGCCGGCGATGCCCCCCAGGCCCACCGCGGCAGCGGTGCTGCCCGGCATCAAGTTTGCCTTCGAGACCGCGGGTGGAAGCGGCCATTAAGATGACTGACTGTTGGAGGGGGAAAAGACGCACGGATTAACCTTCTAAATGGAGTGATGAGTACTTGGGACCGAATCTAATGCATTCGATCTC